GGTGAAAAGGCTTATGGCCTATGTTATTCCTTTTCTAGTATGCTTCTGTGAGTGTCTAGTCTTCTCCTGAATGAGCCAATTGAAGGTGCAGACACTACTGCTTCGTGTAACCGGTAACAAGAATCAATAACTCAGTGTGAAAAACTCTTCGTGCCTCTATGTAACCCTCGTGCTATTGATAGAAGAAACCAGACAAGTAGTGAATAGGTCTTTATTTTGATCTTCGCGCAGTCACGGTGGAGCGTGAAATTATTTGTTCAGACAAAAAAAGCCCCTCCACATTCATTATAAGATAGTAGGAAACACAACGTCTATACAAAATAAGGAAGTGAATGAATACTTGAACTATACTGTCTTGGAATATGCTTAGTTGTTTGAGTTTAACTCTTAGCCAACCAACCAACCTAAGCTTTTACATTAGCTTCCCCTTGGAATCTACTTCCGTAGAAACGTCTGTTCGACTAACCTATCTATCGAAAGCACCTTAGTTCTGTTTTCCCAGTCCAAGGGAAAATTATCAACTTGCTCGCTGGTTGACTTCCAACCAATGACGACTAACTCCGTCAGATATCAACGATAGTCCATGGATGTGTCTTCATTTGCTAGCTTGTCATCTTATTTTGTAGCAAGTGATTCCTTCTATAAATATCGTTGACGGTTTGCTACGTTCTCGCAAGAGTGTGAGAATGTGGAATAAGAATATCTGAGGAAGTGCCGCGAGCGGGCTACCCGACACCATGTTGGTGAAGTACGATTTTTCCGTGCTCAGACCGGCTATCAGGTGTTTACTCACCTGCCTCTTGAGTCTCACTTAAGCAAAAAGTAAAGAAGAATCTACTTCAGATGTAATGGTGAAAACCAATCAAACCTGAAAAACTGCTCCATCGCCCGCATGAAATAATAAGATACAAAATGGAAATACATAAACATAATTGATAGTTGTTCGGTTCCACGTAAGTGATTGGTCTCCAGAACAGATAGGTATTCTGGAAGGAAATAGACACAGTGTAGACATCTTGTGTGCGAAAAAGTATGAAAACAGAAAATGCTCTTTTATAATCCATATATGTAAGAGTGTGATTTTGCTAGAAGTTGGACTCTTTGTCAAACCTGATCAAATGTATGATTTTGAGCCTATGATGGCCACCTTTTATAACCAGGCACGTAACCAAGGGTGCATAAGAATACTCCACAAAACGGAAAAGAATATACGGTTAAGGATGAAAAAATTATGTAAAGTACGACGATCAAGTGCATTTGTGTCAAATACCCTTTTCCGGTTTGATGTAGGTATGCATGATGTATTGAAGCAATATTTCGTCAATTCATCCAGGTAACGAATTGGTCTGCACCTTAGAAGTGTGTAAGTCCTATTACTCATTAGTATTATGAATGATTAATCGGTGTAAGGAAATATTATAGTCACTCCCCCACGGTCTGATGTGGTCTATTGGCTAAGCTTGCATCCAGTAGAGCAGAGGTTCGAGTGCGTGTAAGGCCTGCGCCTTTGTTCACGAAACCCCCCTTGCATACGGTGTTTGTCGCCTGCAAGTCGCTCAGATACGAGGAAAAATGACAAGAGGACAGGATGATATATCAAAGTGCCATATTGGAACAGTACAAGTTACTTTTTTATATTAGTAATAATACTATAGAAATACCACAAGTTTGGTAGATTTCTATTTTACGTTATACTCAAGCCAACAAAGAATATATAAGTTATTGACATGTTTTTTTAGAACGCTAGTGTTAAGTTTCAGAATTTTGTATGAACCACTAATAATAATTGGTTTAACGTTGGCACAGCCATGATAGTCATATCGCGGAACTTTATTAGATACGTGGTTAGATTTTATTCTGCAGCCAAACCTGTCAATATCGTTGACTGACTAATCGGATGTGTCCAGATAACCGTTTTAGTCACTTGTAAAGATTTATCATTTTTACATGTCGATTCCGTAACGTTTTTGTCAGTTAAACGGTCTAACAACACGTCTGATGGTTCATGATCGAGATAAGCCAGTTTTAACCTATCAGTATTTACGGAGTTGATGTTTCCATGTCTTTCTATCATGAAATATCTAGATTTTCTCTAGACGACTTTGAAAGGACCATCGAATGGAGGGCTAAGCAGTGCTTTTATTTCGTCACATCTTATCCAGACGTGTGTGCTATTGCTTAGATCTTTAGGTACATATATGGCCCGCGATTGTTCACGAGTATTAATTGGCTTAAGTTTGGACATATGATCCCGTAGTTGATCTACGTAATTTTCTAAATTAAGTTTTTGACTGTTAGTATTAGGGTTAACAAATTCACCGGGTAGTCTCAGAGTTGTTCCAAAAACCAGTTCTGCAACTGAACACTGTGCATCAGTTTTGACAGATTTTCGTATTCCCAACACAACTAACGGTAGGAATTTTGTCCTTTGATTGGGGTTTGAGCAAGATATAAGGGCGGTTTTTAGCTGACGGCGAAAACGTTCTACTATCCCATTAGTCTGAGAATGATATGCAATGCAGCTTGTCGTATTGGAGCCTAGATGTTTAGCCAAGTTATTAAATAGATCGGGTTCAAATTGTGCTCTTCTATCCGTCGTTGTTATTATGGGTGTACCAAAAATGGTTACCCAGTTCTGCATGAAAACCTTGGCTACTGTTTCCGCTGTGATGTCCGCTATCGGGATGGCTATAGGGAATCTGGTAAATCGATCTATGCATGTAAAAAGATAATTAAACACGTTTGAACGTGGTAAAGGACCTACCAAGTCGATATGCACATGGGAAAAACGTGCATCTGGTTGCGAGAAAACACCTATGGGTGAATTTGTGTGACGATTAATCTTTGATTGTTGACATGCTGAACACTCTCTAACCCATTTGTGTACATCCTTCTGTAAATTCGGCCATATATATCTGGCATTGATTAGTTTAGTTGAAGCTTTTGAGCCAGGATGAGACAAAGAATGAAAGTTACTATGTATCAACTTTCTCATACTTTTGGGAACGAAAGGTCGCGGTATTGCCTTGATCGTGTCACAGTAAATTAGAATACCATCGATGAGTGATGGTAACTGTTTTATATTAGGACTTGAATTGTATGTTTTAAGTAGGTTTTGTAATTCTAGATCCTGCTCTTGTTATAATGTGATATAAAGTCAAGGTTTCGGACTTCTCGAGGTGAGTATTTATCAGCTTTCGCTCTTAGCGCATTCGTTAGTGGTTTATGATCTGTAAAGACTATAAATTCCCTGCCTTCTAACATGTGTCTGAAGTGTTTAATGATCAGGTAGATTGCAAGAAGTTCTCGCCCGAAGGTAGAATACCTTGTCTCTGCTGGAGCGAGTCTTTTTGAGAAGAAAGCAATTGGCTTCCAGGCGTTTTTAACCAGTTGGTTAAGGGTACCGCCTACTGCTTTATCTGAAGCATCCACCATCAAAGCAAGTGGGGAAAGAGAATTCGGATACAGCAACGTAGTTGCTTGAGCTAATTTATCTTTAAGCTGTTTAATAGCTTCGACGGCGTCGGAAGACAGTTTGAATTCTTTTGGTTTTCCTTTCAGTGAATCTGTCAAAGGTTGCGTTAATTGTGCACAACCTGGTATGAATCTGCGATGAAAGTTAATTAGACCTACTACTACTTTATCCGTCCCCATTTAGAGTACGGAAACATAGTATTTCCCCCCTCATTCCAAAAGGATAAGGACACCCTGGAGCGTATCCAACGGCGAGCCACGAAATCAGTTCGAGGACTCAAATTTAAACTTTACGAAGAGCGCCTCCATTCACTTAACCTTTACCCATTAGGGTGTAGACGTCTTAGAGGTGACCTTTTGATGGTTTATAGTATCCTTAACACTTCTGGGCATCCTCTCAAACATCTACTTAAGCTTAGTTCCAACACTAACCTAAGAGGTAACACCCAAAAACTGGAGACACAACTTCTACTCCTTAAGAGTTGTCAAATGCTGGAATTCGCTGCCGGCCGAGCTAGTCCAAGCGACTTCCCAGGAGTCATTTAAGAGGCAAGTTGATCTATTCGTAAGGACTAAGGATAGTATCACACTATGATTTACTAATTTCTTTTCCTCTTTTATTGTTAACATACCTAGGTTCCTGCCTGGAGGATTTGGTGATCCCCTGCTACTAGACACGGAAGCCTGTTAAGCGAAAGCTTCTTCTATTCCGTCCACAACCATATGAACCATTTGAACCATTTGAGTCAAGGTCAGTATAGAGTCGCTCAAAGGTCGTCCATGAATTAGTCTCACTATGAACAGCCATAAAGGTCACAAGTTTGTCCCTACATGTCTTCATTTTCCTATGCAATCTTTAGTTTTGGAGTTACTTTATTCTCATTTCTTGAGTCCCTTTCTTTTACTTCGATGCTATAAATTATTATTGGTACGACTTAATTTGATTTACATATATGTAGATTGATAATTTATAAATTATCAATTATTGATAGTCTTGTGTGATCCTTTCTAGAAGTAAACTGATTCATATGTCTCCGAACGTATAAAAGCAGGTATTTTAAGACTACACTCGTGAAGAAATTCAGATAATTCAGGGTTCTTAACAATCGACGAGTCTCACCCATTTTTCTAATTATTTTGAAATTCACGTTAAGCCACTTATCGCTAGTCAATCAGGTGTTAATACAACCAACTTATTATTACCATAGTTGCTATTTCCTTGCTCGGTAAATACGGTTCAAATGCTTGGTTTTCTATTTGCAATTTAGATTGGTAGACAAGCAAGTGTTTTAAGGTACAACATTGTTTTCAGTATCTACCGAAACCTTCCTAGATTATACCTTATTCTCCTCGTTCTTACTTTAAGTATTATATATATATATATATATATATATATATATATATATATATATATATATATATATATATATATATAATTGTTGATCTGAAACTTTTCTTTACAGTATTCACGTGATATCCCAAACTATTAGTGAATCATCATGACAATAGAAGATCCAGACCTTGAGGCTGGGAAGTAAGTTGTTACTGTGCTTTATACCGAGCTTTTAGAAATATTGATGTCGACGAACTACTAGCGTCATGTACGACTTGTTCTTTGATAAATTAACTGACTGTAGTTGCAATTGACTTACCTGATGAACACACCGATCCTGAGAAGTTACTACGCAAAGAGTTATTATCACTTAAGCAAATGGTACAGCATACATAGTTTTACCTGCCTATTTAGAGAAAAACCCTTACTGATATTGATCATGAAGTTAAGAAGTGTGAACGTAAAGAAGAGAAATCGAAAGGTTTGTTTTATTTTTCTAGTTATAGGGAAATGAAGCTATGAAACCAAGGGAAAAAGCTAAAGAAGAAGCGATGAAGCTTCTTAAGTCAGGAGCAATATCAATTGAGAACAAAAATGAGCGTCACACATTTAAACGTAAACCTAAGGTTAGTGATTCTATAATATGGATTGTTGTTACATACAGGAAAGTGAAGAAGATGAGGTGCCAGGACCCAACGTAAGTATAATAAATTGGTACTTAATGTGCAATATTAGATAAACTTAAAGGTAAAACAGTCACTCTACCGCAATTTTCTACCTGGTCCAATACTTAACGCGTTGGGACCTGAGGAAAAAAAAGTAGACGTCTTATCTAACGATAAAGCGGCTACTTGTGAAGGTAACTGTACGGATGCTTCTGAGACCTTACAAACTAAGAGAAAACAGCAGTTCAACCTCCTACTGGATGACAAAAATTTGGATACGGACCAAGTAGTCATCTCATTTTTCTTATTTGCAGATAACGGATGTTTCAGATTCATGCAGTGTCGATCAGTTACATTCTCCGAACCGACCAGTGCACTCTACCTTATATGTTGGATATCATAATATCACTGAATCTTTTATTCATGATGTTTTCAAGCCTCATGGTACCGTTGTAAGGATTAGGATTGGTAATCCCTCCAAGTACGTCTCTAATATCCTAAAAAGTTTTGATAATTGTTTAAAAGTTCCAGTTAGGCTTTTGAGGCGTGAATTATATTTTCCTGTTATAATTTATCTACGAAAATTAACTCATCGCCATATATCTTTGTAACCTTGGTTCGTTTGATGTAGCCGTCTGGGAAACCAAATAGAAAGATAATACATCTACTTCAAAAGTGTAAACGAGCTTATGGCCAATTATGTTTTATTATATCATTAAGCTGATGACTTGAACTAACCGAAGTGGTCGAACTACCACATTTGAAAGTGGGATTATGTCCTTTTTGGTACTTCAGTCCAACTGCTTCAAGCTAAACCTCTTCATCATAGTATGCTAAGGTAAGTAGTAGTTGGAAAAAATCGAATTTCAAGTATGATCACTCTGATCAGTTAACTTTCATCCCATACAGACAGACATCAATACAGGGCTTGAGACAGGTATGTTTTGTCCCAAGTTTCCATACCGTATTAGGATGACGATGTGAAGACGAACCGCGACGCAGACTGACATAATATTGCATCAGTGATAAAAAGGAAAACTGAGCTTTGGGGATATGATTCAAAATGACAGCTCGATTGAAGTGAAAGATGAATTTTACAGAAAGCTGTCTAAACTTCTTTAGAAAGCTAAACGTTCAGACATAGTACTCGTAGGAGTTGACTTTAATGCCCAGATAGGTAGTTTAAACAAAACGGAAAGGCGTTTAGATGGATATTTCTTTATCCCGGCACAGCGAACAGATAATGGTGATCGTCTGATGCAACTGTACTCAGACAATCGTTTATTTTAAGCAAACACAAACTTTAGGCACAAGGAGAGACATCGTCTAACATGACGACCCCCGACACCAAACCAACGATGGACTTAAATAGACCATATTACCCATTAGTCATCGTTAAAGAGGGTCTGTAGAAGATTGTCGCTCATTCTGGAGTACCTGTTTGGACTCCGACCATGCTCTAATACCGGCACGCATCTGCTTGCGCCTCACTGGACGCAAAAATCTACACTAAAAAGACCCATTAGAACTGAATTGAGTAGCGAGAAAACCAAAAGTAGGTTCCAGGAACAACTGAGGTCACACTTAGGTAGTTCTGAAAACGAGGCTGACCCAGATGTTGCTTGGAAAGATATACAAGCAGCTGCGGAAATAGCAGTGGTATTTATTAGCGATTTAAACCACAGGGTTAAAAAGAACCAGTGGATTTCTTCAAAGTCTATCACACTGATGGATTCTCGCAAACTCGTCCCATCAGGTTCCGAACATGATGAAGAGCGACAACAAATCAGATCTAGGTTAAGAAAAAGTCTAAGAAACAACCGTGAGCAGTAGTGGGCAATGAAAGCAAAAGAGATGGAAAAGGCGGCGGCTATAGGGAACACAAGACAGCTCTACAGACTAATAAAAGAATAAGTCAAGTATAAGTCAGACTATCTCGGAAAGAGACGACACTCTCATCTGCTGTCAGTCCAGACGTTTAGAACGATGGACGGAACATTTCAGAGAACAGTTCAGCTGACCTTCAGCTACTCTACAACTACCCTCCATTCCCAGACAATGTGAATAGAACATTGAAGTAGATCCCCCAACTCTTGCTGAAGTTCAAAAGGCTATAGTTAATCTGAAACGAGGAATGGCAGCTGGTTCAGATGGACTGGCTCCAGAGGTCTTTAAGGATGGTGGTCCGATTTTAGCGGTTAGGTTGATTAACATTTTAGCTAAAATCTAGGAGTTGGACGTTATCCCATCTGACTGGTCATAATCACTTATCGTCCCAATATATAAGAGAGGGTCAAAATCATCCTGTGACAACCAGTGCTGTTAGAGGTATGAGGGCAGTTATCACTTCCCAGTTGCCCACACAGTGGAAGGGTTCTTCTGAAGGTACCTGAGAAGGAAATCGGATTAGAGGTGGTCTTAGTGACCAGGGAGCGTGACCGCAGTAATTTTTGTGTTAGCCCCGTACTTGTAGAGACCTTACCACCGGAGACGGATATCCGTGGGATGAGGTGAGGTATGCGTTTTTAGGGTCGACCTTTTCTAACCCCACCCCTCCTTGTGGGAATGCAGCATCGCTGTCATGCTGGTTGCCTGAAGGAAACACCTTACTGCCGTCGCATCTCTGTACAGTCAGCAGTCCGACTTCGCCTTCGGACCTTGGGTTTGTTGCTTTTAGTCTTACTGCTGTTCAACCAACCTGTCTAACATGGTAGGACCTTGAGGAACTGTTGTTCCAGCCAGTATGGCTCGGTTGCTCCATCACGATGGGCAAGCTTGACTACCACGTCAAGGTAGCAGCAACGGTCGGGGTCGAGCTAAGTAGTGAATAGTCACACTCGATATACGTCTTCCACCACCAAGTGACTTAGCAACATATGGACTAATCAGTATGGCATTTGGCTTAATCAGTGAGAAGAAATCTTCACCCAAGTAAATTCCTACTCGAAGAATTTAAAGTAAAAGCTTGGAAGTGGGTTGTCGCCCATATTTCTGTATAGTTTTGTGTATGGACAATGTTATCTGTGAGTGATGTCAAGTTTATTTTGTTTTTAATTTTTTTTATGTGACCGTAGTTCCCCTTTGTTTACTCTCACATGTATGATTAAGTGTTGTTTGTTGACGGTAACCCTGTCGGGTTTTAATAAGTTCTTCGAAAGTTGGGTTTACAAAATTTACATTATTTCAAAGTTATTAGTAGGTACTAGTAAATCGTTTAATTGTTATAGCTGTCACATTGATTGTGTGATTTATTCGGTTTATACAAAATTAAAGAGGATTTTATGAACACTATTAGGAATGGACTCTGGGCATTGTTTTAATTTAACATCTTGCTAGGCTTTCGGCTATTGCATTGGAGTTAACGCAGTATAGTTATCTTTTATTCTATATCTTGTTCTACTTTCATTCATATCTCTGCTGGCAAACACTGTTGTTGTCTTTTCATCTGAATTTTCTGACCAAGACTTGTACAATGCAAATTTTTTTTCGAGTGTTATTACAATATGCTATATATGATACAGTACATATAGGAATTTCATATAATACACTTACGTTATTTATTTTGGCATGTAGATTCAAATGTATTACGTTCTGTTTATATCTTTTTATTCCGCTATAATGTTGACTTTGATATATTTTAGCCATGCCTACGTTACAATGGCTACGAATCAAATGGCCCAAAGTGCATTGAAGGTAAGGGAAGTAACTACCTATTCCCTTGAATTTTAGCTAGATCACCAAATGGTAAGCAATCGTCTTTTGCGTGTATCGTTTGCTCGGAGACCTTTCCACGTGAAACCTTTTTCACCTACAAAATATAGTCCATGTAAGTCGTGTTCCTTCTTGGCATATGATTTTCATTCGCATTCATTAACTTATTACTGTTTCTCCGCATAACTGATCATCTATAGATGAAAAATAGGCTTATTTAAACCTATAAATTACTATAGTTCGGAAAACATTCACTTAAGATCATATGGCACTTAGTTATGTATTTAGGCTTTTTGTTTTTAATTATTAGATTAGTGTTAAAAAAACTGAATAGAATAATTATATCAAAAGTATCTGTCAATTAATTAAAGCACCGTCTTTACTAACAAATATTTACAATCAGTACTCCTGATTTTTTAAGACATGTGGTAAGGAATTTATGTACTCAGTTTTGAGTAACACAACTTTAGAGGGTGGTTTGTGATGCTACCCAGACCATCAAACTATTGTAGGTAAATCGAAGTACTGTGTGTAACTGAAAAAAGTGGTCTTATTTACAGTTTGTCACATCAAACTTTAATTAATTTATAGAAGTGCTAAAGTTAACTTTCTGTTTTCCATAATGTAGATCGGTCATTTCGAAAACCAGCTTGCTGTAACTCTAACGAGGAGCCTTCAAACAGAATATCAAGCGAACTTAATCGAGATCTAATTACTTATGAGGACTTGTATTCTGATAAATGAACTGTACAATTATATTTAATAAACTGTTAAACAGAAATCAAACTCTCAATTCATTTTTTCATATGTGAATGTAATTTTCCTGTTCTTTCGAAAATTCTTCCTAGTTCTATTGTCATTCATAACACATGAAAAGGTCCTTTTATAGATGTATATCCCTTTTACGGATCTGTAGAAAATGGGACAAAAATGTAATATGCTGCAACGTTCATCATAAATCAGCAATCATTGTACTTAGAAAAACATTCAGCAGTTACAAATCGACTGGACGACTTACAGTTGAACTGAGGGATGTTTGTCAGTGTAGACTACCTGGATACGCTATGTGTGGTACTCAGTCAATGGCTAGGGACTTCAAATGATATGACTCAGAATCGCTCGCAATGGTGCAGGTTCATTCACGCTTTGTCTTAGGCTGAACCCTAAGTTTGTAGACTGTCTTATACCTTTTCCACGTTTTCTATACCTAATTTCCCTATCACTAATGATACTGTTATTACTTCTACTATGGGATTTGTCTTGATAGTTTTATCTCGCTGTGCTAATGGTGTATGGCAACTTGGTTTGATGAACACATGTGCTAGGTTCTACGTTGCACATGACTGGCTGATATGAAGGCTAGTTATACTGATCAGCTACTTAGTTAATGACTGGATTGAGTTGAATAAGCCAGTGTAGGTTAGTACACTCGCTCTTAAAGCTAATCATGCTACCTGGTTGGATAGACCGGGGCAAGTGATGTGGAGTGTATGGTTGCAACTTAAATGTGTTGTAGCCAATAAACTGCATTCTAGAGTAGAGTGGGGATGCAAACATATGGTGTTGTAGTGAGCTAAAGGAATATATCAAACCGCATGGCAAAATAGATGAGTTGATTCGTTTGCGACTAAAAGCCGTAATAAAAGGGATGTATCTGTCAGTCAAGCCGAAGTTTGTATCAAATGAATCACTCGTTGAGGTGGTTATATGCATACAGATTTACTCCCAATAGACCCTCCAGTTGTGTCTATCACTCAACATGTACAAGCCAAGCCTCATACTTTGAGAGAACAGAAAGGAGGGTTGTTGTATTCATCACTGAGCACAGTCAACAGAAACTTAAACTCAAAGAATAACATTTTCAGTCGTGCGATTGCTAGCTATGTGCTTGACAGTCGGCATGATGTTGATGTGTCAGTCTTTCGAAATAATTAATAAATTAACTTAGGACTTATTAAGTTTTGCCGAAGCAGTTTCCATGAAAAGATTTATGAATCCAGTAAGGCCCAATTAACAAATTTGCTTTACCGTGGTCTGGTTACAAATTTCTTGTTTAACTTTTTTCTTATGATATTAATTATGATTCCTTAGTCCTTATCTGATCTAGTCGATTCATTTTACTGTTATGCATCACATGACATGAAACTGACCTTTCGTGTCATTTCTGGTTTTATGCTATCTCCAGTCTTTCTTCTAGTATATGCACATCGAATAACTGTTTGAACAAACCTAGTTCTTCCTCAGTCGTCGTTCTCCATTATTCAAGTGCATCAAGACTAATTTTTTATTACGTATAATATGTATCTTGTATTACTTTCTAAGTAGTAAACAGCTAAAGAGAATCTTCAAAATACATAATATAAATCCATGTTAATCGGCTACCTTCCTACCTTAGTTCAAAAACAGTACTTGACTGTTTATCAATGGAGTAGAATTACATTTCACAGTAAAAGGCATTATTAAATGTCAGTCAGTATAAAGACAATGTTTGTGGTTGTTGTTTGGATCTTATAAATAAAAAATATAAATTTACGACCCTCCATGTTTTCTAATTTCTGCCTGAAGAAAATAATCTATATTATTCTCCATGGTATTTAAACAGTGGCGAATCTTGTCAGTATAAATGGGCTATCATCTACAACCTTTGTTATGGTTAAAATTTTCATTTTTCCTTCGTTCTAGTACATGTTTAAATTCGATGGTGAATTCTTCACGGAATATAAAAGAATTCATATATATGAAGCAGTAAATCAACTAAAACGTCTCCGTTGTTTCGGCGCATTGTGTGCAATCAACACTATTGTTTGGAGTTTTTTTACATGTAATCCACGACAGATACAAACAACTAGTAGCAATTTTCAGCTCTTCAAAGAAACCGCCCCTAAATCTTACGAAAAAATGGTAGATAGTTTTAGATTGAATTCGGATACCAAACCACTTTATCCTTGGATAACAGCTGTACTTGGTAGGTGAAAACTTAGTACATAATCATACTTATTTTTTTACTCTTTGCTAAAAATATATTGGATTTTAAAAATTCATAAAACTTACCGAAATAATGAATACAAACTTTGCTACCAAGTGTTCCAATAGTTTTATGTAGTATACGATCAAGTTAGGTTGTTATGGTCACATGATTTGTATTACATATGTATTGAACTAACGGCAGTTACATTTACTGTTGCTTTTGGAGTTCCTATGGGAACATCAGTAATTACATCTACTTGAATCGAACTCATAGGTCAAAGATATCAAGGCACATGACTAAGATATTTGGAGTCTCATCATCACTAAAAGCTGACTCATTAAAGGTAATTGCTTGCTGAATATTTCAGTAATATTCGCAAGTTAAACGCAGTACAATATTTTAGTTGCCTTACCAGATGGAGTGCTCAGAGGACTCATCGTGTCTAAAAACTTACTTGTTTAATATGTTTACCTCCCAAGATATAATAGGATCTATTTCTAAGGTCTATCTATAGCTTTTAGGATGCAGTGTCTTATATGTAGACATCAGTTTTGCTTTTATGGTACGTATAGATAAGTTGCTTGCAGCTTTATGACTTTCTATTATAAGGTTCATATATATACACCACTCTGATAGGATGCAAAGGTTAGGAGTCCCTCTTTCACTTCATAAAGAATCTAATGAGATTTCTGATAATTGTCAGTGGATCAACTCCGCACTCGATGGCTTAGTTCTAGAGAAAGTAAGCTAGAAGGTTCTTAGAACATCTACTTCAGTCACATATCAATTTTATTTTCTCACACCAAAATGAAAACATTTCTGGAAATTTAAGAATAACTACTTTTCGTAATTGTCAGTAACAGTAGCCGAACTTTAATTGGTCTTTGTATGGGTAGATTAAAGATTGTTTAGGTCATTGAAACAGATGTCACTTTAAAGACTATGCATATCAATTGCTTTTAGATAAATCACTGTTTTTATATATAAAAACATTTCTAGCTTTCTCCTCGTTTCTTGGAGGACTTCTTTTACCACGTCGTATTATTCGCAACATAATTTTAATAACCGCTGAGAATAACAATACTTCGGCACTACAAAAGTTTATTCAGATCGATACCCATGGAGCTTTTGGTATTAAAAGTAATGGTAGAACATTCAAGAGACCTTTGAGATATATATCATTTGACTATAAATCACCACACTCTGATGTATCCAGAATAAATATTCGTGTCAAGCATGTACCTTTCTGTTTCATACTTGATTTACGAAAGGCAAAACACATTGATGAAAATGAATTGTGCTGTCTAATGTACAAAGTTAATCAGAATTGTAGTACTTAATTCTGTAATAACTGTAATATGTATTATCTTATAAATTTCATGTTACTGGATAAATAATATGAATGCTTGTAGACAATGTTCATGTAAAATCAGTGGTTTTTAATCTACTGAAACTATCGTATTACCAATATCCTACTCATAATTTATACTAATGGCTTACGATGAAATAAAATAGACTCCATATTTGTTTATTGTTCTACGTCTATTTAACACTTGGAATCGAACTGATAGGGTTTTTATGGCCCGAGGATCTGACTCCTATTTAGATCGTACGAATGTTTGTTATCGCCTATTCTCATCGACTTAAATCGCGTTAGTCAATAACGGAATTAAATAAGTCGAATAACGAGAATTGACTTGAGAATACATATATTTTGTATATGAAGCGAATGAAACAGAGCAGAGCAAAATGACACGCAGGGAAGATGGCTGGGAAGCCAACTCCATTTTAGTCAAGGGTTACTCAATATTTATAGTCAGAAAAAATAAAGCTACACACATGTGATTAATGGGATAAGAAGGGCACACACATATACGCTCATATAGAAACAGACAAGACTGGTAAGCGAATAATTGACAAGGTCAAAATATGAATAGAATGTCCGAAAGCTAGAATAAGATATATGGGCTTAAAATAATGAATGACACTACAGGGTTGACTAATACCCTAGAAGCCCTTGTTATTTGTAAGTTTGAATGAGAAACTTGTATTTGAGATTCCAGTAAAGTACTACAAAAGTGTCATTCACCTATTGACTCGAAAGTACATTACATGTGAGTTTACACTACTATCCTGCGGCAGTGATATTACATTCCACGCAAAACACTTATTGACTGGATACCTTTCAACGGTTATTTATTTGTTACTGTACTAGAAAGTTATTTTAGTGTCCGAAAAGACAGTCGTACTTGATCGTCGTCATCTACACCAAGGGGCGGTAACCAAAGATGAGTTCTACTAATTTAACCGTTTCAAAGAGACGTGTACGACAGATATTGTGGTACTAGTTGAGGGTAGTATCGTTGCTAACCGCTGTCTGGCTTTCAAAAACTCCCCAATTTTGTAATTTACATCACGGACCGACCTTAGACGACCATTGGAAACAAAGGGGAACTAGACAATTGTCTCATGAGCTATTTATGATAAGACAACCCGACTGACTTTAAACGCCTTTTTTCTGACTAGCATTTTTGAGTCGTAACTACTTTTTGTGTAAAAGTTACCTTATTTGACGTTTCCTTAAAGCTGAAGATAGAAAACGATACCTTAAATCCAATTTTTCTAACACATATCGTTCTTATATTTTTTTATTCATCCTTTGCCTACATAGCAGTAACCCCAAACAGTTTTAGTTTCACTACAGCTTTACGTCTTCAAGTAAGCGGTTTACAATAACCCATTTAGATAAGGTCTTAGTGTTTTTTGTACTGTGTTTTCACTCTTGTTAACCCACCGCGAAGTTAACAAAAACGCACAGTTGTCCATGATTGTTAAGTTGATAATTACTACCTGGATGGTCATTAATGATGCATACTGTAATGAGTTCTGAAATCAGCTTGTTAGGTAAATTATTCGAAATAATCCATATTATTTAAATTACGTGTGTAACAATACTGAAGCGATATAGCTTCCATGATGGTTACTTATGATTAGATCTTGAGGAGCAAAGTTTGAAGTAATGAAATATCAGTACATTTAGCATTTTTATTGACAGCATTTGGATCTAGATCACAAACTTCGATATGGTAAACAAGATCAGATGTGCAAATAGATTGAAAAATATACTTATTGGGAACAACTGTACCGCTCTTTTTCTACATCAGTACAGTATCGGCTCCGACTTCTGATAATAAGAACGATTATAAACTATGACATCAAAGTATTACTAACATCCGAAGTTGTTTCCCGAAACCCATCGTAATCTTGACCACTTATTAAAAAATATGGTAAACCCAAATAATATGCATGGAATGTGGGATGAAGGATTAATATTAGCTAACGGATATATGTTTATTAAGATGTGTTATAGTTTAAGCTATTTGTATCTATGCTTTGGTTTATACTGGGGGTTTCAGGTCACGTATTTCATCATGACAATTTCAAAAAGACATCGAAATACTGTTACCACAATATTTTGTGTTCGCTAAGAATTAAATCCATACTTAATGTAGTCAAAACAATTAAACTGTTATCAGTTCATTGTGATTCAGGAGACAACCGGATACACATTCACGAATTGTATAGAAGTGACTGCAATCCTTCTTCCAACTTGTCAGCTGATCCTCAAGCCAAATTAATTTGAATCATTCGAACGGATTATCCTCATTCTTATTATTTAATCCAGTCAAGTTAAAAATCACGAAATAACTAAGATTATACATGATGTTTCTGGCTGTATGCGAGGAAAATCCTTTTGGCTATGTAGCTGTAAACGCATTCATCTATCTCGTGTAAAAATAAGTAAGACTTGAAACCCCATAAGCACTTTCAGTGGAAACCACCAAGCTTTTCTACAACCGTCATAACTTTTTCCTTCACCAATATTGCTACTTCAACTAGTACTTACACGACTTCCTACGAAATGGAGAGCTGTTTAGTATAAAATGATATGTATTTCTACTACCATGGTTTACATAAAAGTACTTAGTTCATTTACATTATTGTATCTTCAAGGCTAAATGAGAAATGATCCATATTCTCCCAGTAGTTGACTAAGATGGTTTAGTTGCATCTAAACGTGGATGACCAAACGAAAAGACCTTGACTCTTCAACATAATGACTAATAGCATAATAAATTGAATAATTGTTATTCCAAAAACAATACTACTAATCCTCAACAAACGTTACCGTTGGGAAGTATTTCAACATCCTAAAACCTCAGAGATGACGTTTTAGTTCGTCTATCAATTGTGATCCGAACATGTACAAGTATGCAGACATGTTTTTTTTAGATGCGCTTAATCTATTGAACCTTACAACAGTAGATAAAAATGGATGTGACGCCGGCATATATACGTGAAGACTTATCGGAATCACCAGTTCTGATTTGTTTCTCAGGCCTGTCTACTTTTATTTTACTTCGTCCTAGAGATAACGTTTGTGCCATCCGACTTTTTAGTGGTTGACCTCTTACCAGGGGGATTCATTTATTTATTTCAATACACAAATGATATAGTTCGGAGTACTTTGAGGCCATCAGCGCTGTGCTTAGACACAGAGTACTAAGTAGGGTTCGCAAATCAGTCGAGGTAGTGAATCTCTACCGACCGAGATAGTTAAATGGTGTATTAGGTGTACTCAACCACCGACTAACTTGTCGGGGGATATTTACTATAGGAGTAAGCTCGCCGTGGTCAAATCAAAACGTAGCGACTTACGGTTGGACTGAGGGATGTTTGTCAGTGTAGACTACCTGGATACGCTATGTGTGGTACTCAGTCAATGGCTAGGGACTTCAAATGATATGACTCAGAATCGCTCGCAATGGTGCAGGTTCATTCACGCTTTGTCTTAGGTTGAACCCTAAGTTTGTAGACTGTCTTATACCTTTTCCACGTTTTCTATACCTAATTTCCCTATCACTAATGATACTGTTATTACTTCTACTATGGGATTTGTCTTGATAGTTTTATCTCGCTGTGCTAATGGTGTATGGCAACTTGGTTTGATGAACACATGTGCTAGGTTCTACGTTGCACATGACTGGCTGATATGAAGGCTAGTTATACTGATCAGCTACTTAGTTAATGACTGGATTGAGTTGAATAAGCCAGTGTAGGTTAGTACACTCGCTCTTAAAGCTAATCATGCTACCTGGTTGGATAGACCGGGGCAAGTGATGTGGAGTGTATGGTTGCAACTTAAATGTGTTGTAGCCAATAAACTGCATTCTAGAGTAGAGTGGGGATGCAAACATATGGTGTAGTGAGCTAAAGGAATATATCAAACTGCTAGACTTCACCTCGCACTACGATTCGTATTTAATCCTAATAAAATTACACGGGAAACGCTACTGATAGGCACAGGAATCCCGGTCGTTGATGTTTAAAACTGCTTGGGAGTAGGTTCATGAGTGTTTTACGTACTTCTAACTTGTACTTTTCTACTTAAATGATTACGCACAATAGTTATTTTGTTTGCAATGAAAATAATTATAGACGACGATTACGCGTTAAAAAACTGGCAGTCGATATTCTGAACCCTTTCTTTAGACGGACTTACCCCTTAATTTTTAAATGGATTTCGAAAATAACCACGATTCGCTTTGCTATTGCAAAATGGCCGAACTTTAAAATTCGAGCATTTGTTTTGACCACTTTTGGGTATTTATCCAAGGCGTCATGTGGCACACATTGACACTGTTTACGATTTGTCAACTTAGGGAACTAGCGTGCCAAATTGCAAAACAGGTTTGTTGTGCATATAACAAATACATAGTAGTGATGGCTTTTTGTTTAGTTAGACTTTGGGATGCCGAAGAAAACTAATCAGGACTGTAAAGAGAGAGAGAGAGTCACAACTCGACATTAGTAAACTACAACAAACAGCGCAAGCTTATATCTCTCCGGCGAATCACGATTACGACCTTGGTAACCGAAATAAGATTTGAATTAAATTAGTCAGAACACAATGGTTGCTTTGTGAAAAGAATCAGAGGACAATTATCTTACAAACGATACCAAAAGTATGAAATACAAAGTCCCGAAAGTTTTCAATCGCGTCTCAGTGGATAAGAGACTTCACTCAACCCATCTTTAGTGATTGTGTAGATGATAACACTGTCACCACATTGTATGTCTCTTTCTGCAGCGCTGATAAATATATCATGAGTAAGTTTAACAGCCGTTTCCTTGTCCAAACGTGACACGTGATATTTCGAGGTCTTATTCCCAACCTTTAAGAAATAAGCAAATCTAACAGAGCAAACCTACCGTGCTATCCAGAAATGGTTGCAGAATTGCCGAAGAACTGCCAGAGGCGCGGTACCCCTCCGATTCATATGATCCTACAGGATCATAACTGTATAGCACACCACGGCCTTCAGCTAGACCAACTAGTACATTGCTTACATAAAATGGGAAGAACCGTCTGTTATAAAGAGTTACAGACAAGAGGCCAGCTAGTGCATTTGTCGAAATGTTCTTTCCATGGTCATAACGAAACGTCTACATTTGTAAAATA